GGTCTGGATGAGTGTCGACTTCCTCTGGACTTCCACAGGAACCAGGTCCTGACTAATGTTACAGAGTCCACCTCAGTGGATTTTCTCTTGACTAACCTCTTCAGAGGGAACCTGCTGCCTTCTGCTTGCCTCTGGATAACCACAAGACCTGCAGCAGCCAATCAGATCCCTGCTGACTGTATTGGCATGWTGACAGAGGTCAGAGGCTTCACTGATCCACAGAAGGAGGAGTACTTCAGGAAGAGATTCAAAAATAAAGAGCAGGCCAACAGGATCATCTCCCACATCAAGGCATCACGAAGCCCCCACATCATGTGCCACATCCCAGTCTTCTGCTGGATCACTGCTACGGTTTTGGAGGATGTACTGAAAACCAGAAAGAGAGGAAAACTCCCTAACACCTTGACTGAGATGTACATCCACTTCCTGGTGGTTCAAACCAAACTCAAGAAGTTAAAGTATGATAGAGGAGCTGAGAAAGATCCAGACTGGAGTCCAGAGAGCAGGAAAATGATTAAGTCTCTGGGAAAACTGGCTTTTGAGCAGCTGCAGAAAGGAAACCTRATCTTCTATGAGTCAGACCTGACAGAGTGTGACATCGATATCAAAACAGCCTCATGGTACTCAGGAGTGYTCACACAGATCTTGATAGAAGAGAGCGTACTTCACCAGGACAAGGTGTTCTGCTTCATCCATCTGAGTGTTCAGGAGTTTCTGGCTGCTCTTTATGTTCATTCAACCTTCATCAAGACTGGTGTCAACCTTTTGGAAGAAGCACAAACAATCTCCAAGAGGTCATCTTTGTTTAAGAAGACAAAACCAAAGAGTTTTTATCAAAGTGCTGTTAAAAAGGCAATGCAGAGTCCAAATGGACACCTGGACTTGTTCCTTMGCTTCCTCCTTGGTCTTTCACTGCAGACCAATCACAGTCTCCTACAAGGTCTCCTGACAGAGAGAGGAAGTAGCTCGGAGACGAATCTGGATACAGTTCAGTACATTAAAAAGAAAATCAGTGAGAATCTTTCTGCTGAGAAAAGCATCAACCTGTTCCACTGTCTGAATGAACTGAATGATCGTTCTTTAGTGGCAGAGATCCAACAGTCTCTGATCTCAGGAAGCCTTTCCACAGACGATCTGTCTCCTGCTCAGTGGTCGGCTCTGATCTTTATCTTACTGTCATCAGGAAAAGATCTGGATGTGTTTGACCTGAAGAAATATTCTGCTTCAGARGAGGTTCTTATGAAGCTGCTGCCAGTGGTCAAAGCCTCCAACAAAGCCTTGTAAGTACACAGAGTTACAGAAACTTGAGGCAAGGGATGACCACTYCAACAGGCTCCTTTCAGTGTGGAAGAGGGAGACTGAGAGGAGGTCTCCCTCCTCTGGAAGGGAGGGGTTTCCTAGGAGTTTGGCACAGTGTGTCTCAGGGGTTATGAAAGGTGTGTGCAAGATCGAACCTTGAACAATCACATGACTGAGTGTCGACAGTTCCATGTCAGCAGTGCCAGCGTGACACCAGATCTATTCTCCAGAGTAGGAGAGAGTCCAGCCCTTGGGTTCCAGAGCCCAATCTGTGAGTTGAGTTGAGCCCAACTATCTGCCCCATGTCCCCAACCTCCCCGGGACATGTGAAAAACTCTCCCGGAGGTATGAGTTGAAGATCACATGGACAGGGGACTCCGCCAAATGTTCCCAGTTCACCCTCACTATACGTTTGGGTTTACCAGGTCTGTCCGGCAGCCTCCCCTGCCACTGGATCCAACTCACCTCCAAGTGGTGATCAGTTGACAGCTCTGCCCCTCTCTTCACTCGAGTGTCCAAGACATAGGGCTGCAGGTCTGATGACATGATTACAAAATCAATCATCAACCTTTGGCCTAAGGTGGCCTTGTACCAAGTACACTTATGGACCACCCTATGCTCAAACATGGTGTTTGTYATGGACAACCCATGCTTAGCACAGAAGTCATAACACCATTCGGGTTCAGATCGGGGAGGCCGTTCCTCCCAATCACCTCCTTCCAGATAACTCTGTCATTGCCCACATGGGCATTGAAGTCACCCAGCAGAATGAGGGAGTCTCCAGATGGAGTCATTGGATGGTGTCCTTCCAGGACACCATCCAAGGACTCCAAAAACGCTGGGTAATCTGAACTGATGTTTGGTGCATAAGCACAAACAACAGTCAGAACCTTCTTTCCTGCAGCCCAAAGCTGCAGAGACACAACCCTTTCATCCACCGGAGCAAACTCCAACACTGAGGCACACAGCCGRGGGGCATGTGAGTATCCCCATGCCTGCCCATCRCCTCTCTCCCTGGGCAACTCCAGAGTAGGAGAGAGTCCAGCCCTTCTCCAGGAGTTGGGTTCCAGAGCCCAATCTGTGAGTTGAGTTGAGCCCAACTATCTGCTGGTAACACTCAACCTCACCCCTCTGGCTCCTTACCCGCGAATGAGGTTACGTTCCATGTCCCTAGAGCCAGTCTTTGTTGCCAGGAATCACGCCCAGGCCTGGCTCCAGGGAGGTGCCCTGATTTCTCTTCCGGGCAAGGTTTCCTGATGTGGTTGGTGTTTTGTCATCAAAGGTTYTGAATCACTCTTTGTCTGACACCTCCCCAAGGCCTGTTCGCCATGGGAGACCCTACCAAGGGCTAATGCCCCAGACAACATAGCCCCTGGGATTATGGGGGTACTCAAACCCCTCCACCACGTTAAGGTGGCGATTCTGCGTAGGGTCATGTTTTAATATACAGTTTGTATATGTATTTATTCCCTTCAGACTGACTTACTGCAACCTATCAGAGAAAAGCTGTAAAGCTCTGTTGTTAGTTCTCCAATGCAAGTCCTCCAACCTCCGAGAACTGGACCTGAGTTACAACAACCTGCAGGATTCAGGAGTGAAGTTTCTATCCACCGCACTCGAGAGTCCACAGTGCAAACTGGAAACTCTCAGGTGAGGATCAAAGATTTGTGAATATCAAACTTTTTTTAAGCGGACTACATTTTTGACTGCAGTGTGACCAACGTTAACTAAACACTGGAATCATGGTTACACCAGAACTAAAAGTTTATTTTTGTCTTTTTGCCTTTTTAAACCTGGCAGTTAATTAATCTTATACAGTTGGAAATTCTGTTAATTTCCCTTTTACATGGTGCTAYATTTGTAAGGAACATGCATTTGTGGGATGAGCAGTAGTGCTGAGTATGTGGGTTGTGGACATGAAAAACATGCCAAATCTTCACTTGTTTTGAGCTTCTGGTACCACCAGGTGCAGCCAATCAGATGGCCGGTATAAGATTTCTTGCCAAGAAGCATTGCTACAACAAAGAAATGATCTACCAAACACAAATTTAACTACTTTTTGTGTTAAGTTTAGATAGATGGATATTTAGACTCCTTTTGTCAATGGAAATGATCAGATCTGATTTTGGAGTGTACCTAACCATACATCATGTGTGTTTGTCAGATTGTCAGGCTGTCTGATTACGGAGGAAGGCTGTGCTCCTCTAGCTTCAGCTCTGCATTCCAACTTTGCCCATCTAAAAGAGTTGGACCTGAGTCACAATCATCCAGGAGACTCAGGAGTGAAGCTGCTGTCAGMGAGACTGAAGAGACTTGAAGCTCTCAGGTATGGCAGTACCTGCTGCCGACACATATAATGTCTGATAAGATGTTTTTGCACTGCATGACCTGGCCGCAGTTTAAATCTTGGTTTGGCGTTCTTGAATTAGTTGTTATGGCCCAGGTCCACCCAGATTTCTTGAACCGAGACCTGTGGTTCCTATCTGGCTGGCCTGATTTGATGTCCGCTRCTGTTGATCATTGGTTGATTCACAGATACTTGAATCATTTGCAGCGACTAAAGCAGTATTTTTCAYGAGTTTAACTACACAACGACAATAGTAAGATACCAACAAGCTAACAAAAACCTAGCATAAAAACACTAGAACTTACAGTTCTCTGCAGTCCTGCCCTCTTGTCTTAAGTGTCATGYTGATGGATGGTCCTGTTCAGTATTTGGTACTTTTCCTCAAAGTTTGGTGTAGTTATTGTTTTGTCACAAAATAACTAAATAAGATCCCATCAAGGAGGCTCAGCTTAATACAAACAAAACCAGGGCCAGAGTACAGTAAGACCAGGCCATCTGGAGCTGGGGCGGGCTTTACCTTGAAAAAAACACCTACAGAGTGTGAAGWGCTAAGAATTGGTTTTCTCTTTCCTCTTCTCGGTTCTTGTCTTGAAGTAGTTTGTAATAATTGTAATTGTGATAATGCAACCTCAAATGACTTTTACAAGTAAACATGGCCAGTTATTATCAGGGATGTAGGATTATTTGTGACAGCTGTGTTTATTTTCATCTTCAGCTGCAGACTATTTTATGTCTCCTTCTGCTGTGGTGTCCATGCATTGAATTAAATAACGTACTTTTTATCACACAGACTAGCCATTTAGCTCAGTACATCAATAAAGGTGAAGGTCTTTGTTTCAGCATCTAAATTAAATTTTCTCATCAGCTAATTCGCACAAGGCCCATCTGGGTAAATTATTGTTCCTGGCATCATTCTTCTCTGACTCAAACTTCAAAGTGTGTTTCCCACAATGCTCTGGCTAAATAGAAACATTTTTTCTCTTTATCCCTTTTAACTCTTTTCTTGTTATTTGTCTCTTCAGATTGAATAACTGCAACCTATCAGAGAGAAGCTGTGAAGCTCTGTCTTCAGTTCTGAGCTCTCTGTCCTCCAGTCTCAGAGAACTGGACTTGAGTAACAACAACCTGCAGGATTCTGGAGTGAAGCTTCTAGCTGCTGGACTGGAGAGTCCACATTGCCAACTGAAANGGATTGGACTGTCTGAAACCCGTGATCCGGGTTTCAACCACCAGGTGCTTGTTGCTGAGCTCTGCACCCTTGACCTGTCCTGAGGGGGGAGCGCCAGTTTCTCTGTTTTAGGCAAAACTGAATGTTTAATTTGGTCCTCCTACACCATCAAGATGTTTGAATCACTGACAATCAGACCTGATTATATACATATTTGGTTAACTAATTGTTTCAATTTCAATCCATCCATCCATGCATCCATCCATCCATGCATCCATCCATCCATCCATCCATCCATCCATCCATCCATCCATCCATGCATCCATCCATCCATCCATTTCTCCGTAGTCTGGTCGCGGAGGCAACAGATCCAGGAGAGAAACACAGACATCCCTCTCCTCAGCAGCACTTTCCAGCTCGTCCTGGAGGACCCCGAGGCGTTCCCAGGCCAGAGAGGATACACAATCCCTCCAGCAAGTCCTGAGTCTTCCTTGGGGCCTCCTACCAGTGGGACGTGCCCAGAACACCTCCTAAAGGGAGGCTTCCAGGAGGCATCCTAATCAGATACCCGAACCACCTCTTCTGACTTCTTTCGATGTGGAGGAGCAGTGGGTCTACTCAGAGCTCCCCCTGGATGACGGAGCTCCTCACTCTATCTCTAAGGCTGAGCTCGGCCACCCTACAGAGGAAGCTCACTTCGGCCGCGTGTATCCGGGATCTTGTTCTTTCGGTCATGATCCACGCTTCATAACCATAGGTGAAGTCGAGAGCTTTGCCTTTCGACTCAGCTCTTTCTTCACCACAACTAACCGAAGCAACACCCTCATTACTGAGGATGAGGCCTCAATCCGTCGATCCATCTCCCGCTCCTTCCTACCATCACTCATGAACAAGACACCCAGGTACTTAAACTCCTCCACTTGAGGCAAAGACTCTCCCCCAACCCAGAGGGGGCATTCCACCCTTTTCTGGTCAAGAACCATGGCCTCAGACTTGGAGGAACTGACCTTCATCCCAGCCACTTCACACTTGGCTGTGAACCACCCCAGTGCATGCTGAAGGTCTTGGACTGAAGACGCCAACAGAACATCATCTGCATACAGCAGAGATGAGACCCTGTGGTTTCCAAACCAGACACCATCCTCTCCATGACTGCGCCTTGACATCCTGTCCATAAAAACTATAAACAGGATCGGAGACAAGGGATGGCCCTGGCGGAGTCCAACACACGCTGAGAACAAGCTTGACTTTGTGCCAAGAATGCAAACACAGCTCCTGCTTTGGTTATTTAGGGACTGGATTGCTCTTTGTAGCAACCCAGACACGCCATACTCCCACAGCACCCCCCACAGAATTCCCAGAGGAACACGGTCATAAGGCTTCTCCAAGTCCACAAAACACGTATATCGGATAGGCAAACTCCCACAACCCCCTTAGCAACTCTGCAAGGGTAAAAATCTGGCCCAATGTTCCATGCCCAGGACAAAAGCCACATCGCAGCCTCCCTTCCAACACCCTGGAGTAAACTTTCCTGGGGAGGCAGAGAAGTGTGATCCCATGATAGTTAAAACACACTCTCCGCCCCCCTTTATAAAAACGGGAATCACCACCCCAATCTGCCACTCCACAGGAGTTGTCCCAGTCCTCCATGCGATGTTGAAGAGATGTGTCAACCATGACAGCCCCACAATATCCAGAGCCTTCAGCATCTCAGGGCAAATCTCATCAACCCCTGGTGCCCTGCCACCAAGGAGCTTTTTGACTACCTCGGTGACCTCTGCCACGGTAATGGACTCATCTTCCCCCGAGTCTTCAGACTCTTCCTCCTCAAAGGTGGACATGGAGGGTGAATTCAGGAGATCCTCAAAGTATTCCTTCCACTGCCCAACAATATCTTCAGTCCTGGTCAGAAGTTCCCCACCCAAGCCAATTACAGCCTGGGACCTGGGAAGCTTTCCTTTTCTGAGTCGTCGAACAGTTTGCCAGAATGTCCTCGAGGCCAATTGAAAGTCCTTCTCCATGGCCTCCTCGAATTCCTCTCATGCCCAAGTTTGTGCATCTGCAGCACAGAAGCTGCAACCCTCTTTGCTACCCTGTACCTGTCAGCTGCTTCAGGAGTCCTGGGAAAACCAAGTCCGAAAGGCCTCCTCCTTCAGCCTGACGGCCTCCATCACCACTGGTGTCCACCAGCGGGTCCTTTGGTTGCCACCGCAACAGGCACCGATGACCTTCAGGCTACAGCTCCTGGAAGCCGCATTTGCAATGGAGGCTCTGAACATGGCCCATTTGGATTCCATGTCCCCAACCTCCCCGGGACATGTGAAAAACTCTCCCGGAGGTATGAGTTGAAGATCACGTGGACAGGGGACACCGCCAAATGTTCCCAGTTCACCCTCACTATACGTTTGGGTTTACCAGGTCTGTCCGGCAGCCTCCCCTGCCACTGGATCTAACTCACCTCCAAATGGTGATCAGTTGACAGCTCTGCCCCTCTCTTCACTCGAGTGTCCAAGACATAGGGCTGCAGGTCTGATGACATGATCACAAAATCAATCATCAACCTTTGGCCTAAGGTGGCCTTGTACCAAGTACACTTATGGACCACCCTATGCTCAAACATGGTGTTTGTTATGGACAACCCATGCTTAGCACAGAAGTCATAACACCATTCGGGTTCAGATCGGGGAGGCCGTTCCTCCCAATCACCTCCTTCCAGATAACTCTGTCATTGCCCACATGGGCATTGAAGTCACCCAGCAGAATGAGGGAGTCTCCAGATGGAGTCATTGGATGGTGTCCTTCCAGGACACCATCCAAGGACTCCAAAAACGCTGGGTAATCTGAACTGATGTTTGGTGCATAAGCACAAACAACAGTCAGAACCTTCTTTCCTGCAGCCCAAAGCTGCAGAGACACAACCCTTTCATCCACCGGAGCAAACTCCAACACTGAGGCACACAGCCGRGGGGCATGTGAGTATCCCCATGCCTGCCCATCRCCTCTCTCCCTGGGCAACTCCAGAGTAGGAGAGAGTCCAGCCCTTCTCCAGGAGTTGGGTTCCAGAGCCCAATCTGTGAGTTGAGTTGAGCCCAACTATCTGCTGGTAACACTCAACCTCACCCCTCTGGCTCCTTACCCGCGAATGAGGTTACGTTCCATGTCCCTAGAGCCAGTCTTTGTTGCCAGGAATCACGCCCAGGCCTGGCTCCAGGGAGGTGCCCTGATTTCTCTTCCGGGCAAGGTTTCCTGATGTGGTTGGTGTTTTGTCATCAAAGGTTYTGAATCACTCTTTGTCTGACACCTCCCCAAGGCCTGTTCGCCATGGGAGACCCTACCAAGGGCTAATGCCCCAGACAACATAGCCCCTGGGATTATGGGGGTACTCAAACCCCTCCACCACGTTAAGGTGGCGATTCTGCGTAGGGTCATGTTTTAATATACAGTTTGTATATGTATTTATTCCCTTCAGACTGACTTACTGCAACCTATCAGAGAAAAGCTGTAAAGCTCTGTTGTTAGTTCTCCAATGCAAGTCCTCCAACCTCCGAGAACTGGACCTGAGTTACAACAACCTGCAGGATTCAGGAGTGAAGTTTCTATCCACCGCACTCGAGAGTCCACAGTGCAAACTGGAAACTCTCAGGTGAGGATCAAAGATTTGTGAATATCAAACTTTTTTTAAGCGGACTACATTTTTGACTGCAGTGTGACCAACGTTAACTAAACACTGGAATCATGGTTACACCAGAACTAAAAGTTTATTTTTGTCTTTTTGCCTTTTTAAACCTGGCAGTTAATTAATCTTATACAGTTGGAAATTCTGTTAATTTCCCTTTTACATGGTGCTACATTTGTAAGGAACATGCATTTGTGGGATGAGCAGTAGTGCTGAGTATGTGGGTTGTGGACATGAAAATCATGCCAAATCTTCACTTGTTTTGAGCTTCTGGTACCACCAGGTGCAGCCAATCAGATGGCCGGTATAAGATTTCTTGCCAAGAAGCATTGCTACAACAAAGAAATGATCTACCAAACACAAATTTAACTACTTTTTGTGTTAAGTTTAGATAGATGGATATTTAGACTCCTTTTGTCAATGGAAATGATCAGATCTGATTTTGGAGTGTACCTAACCATACATCATGTGTGTTTGTCAGATTGTCAGGCTGTCTGATTACGGAGGAAGGCTGTGCTCCTCTAGCTTCAGCTCTGCATTCCAACTTTGCCCATCTAAAAGAGTTGGACCTGAGTCACAATCATCCAGGAGACTCAGGAGTGAAGCTGCTGTCAG